AAGATGTAATAAGATCACACAAACAAGTTACACTATAATTTAATTTATTCAATATACCATAACAATTTTAAAGTAACTGTAGTTGTTTACTCGTGTGTGTTCAGAAAAAAATAAAATGGTGTACAACATATAATTAACAAAAATAATAAAATACAACCGAAGAATGTTCCAAACATTTTAAAACGTTTATTTATTACGGTTCTGATAATTTCATTGACAAAAAATATAATATGGTATAGGAATTATGCCGTCGTTATTTCGGCCTTTTGCATGACTATGTGCTTCAATTTAGCAGTATTCCTAGTTTTGTAGAAGTAATTTAATATGGTTGTGCCTGTATTATTTTATTACCACATCTTTTACTTATAAAATTAACATTTTTCTTATTTATCTATAAAACACGATAGAACCATAGAAAAAAAAAATATACATACATATTAGGTTGGGGAACAACTCTTTTCGCAAATAGTATGTATGTACTTATAATATAATCTCTTTTGCTATACACTTGTATCTGGCTGGTTTTGGTATCATTAAAAAGTTTAAATTTTAAGAAAGATAATTCCAAATTCAAATTAGGAAAATATGTGATTTTCATTTGTTTGTTTTACTGTTAAGATGAGTGATTGTAATGAAATTGAAATTCGATCAATTTTAAAATTTTACTACTAAAAAGGTAAAAATGCAACGCAAGCCGCGAAAAACATTTGTGATATTTATGGACCTAGTGCTGTGCCTGTGAGAGTAGCACATATTTCGTTTAAGCGTTTTCAATCCGGAAATTTTAATGTCAAAGATGCACCTCGCTCTGGGCGCCCTGTTACGGATAAAATGTATGCCAATTTTGAAAAAGTGGAGCAAAATCGGTATATCAGTAGTTTCGATGTAGCTGAAGAACTGGGAATTGACCTCAAAACAGTTTTGGCGCATATGAAAAAAGCTGGGTACACAAAAAAGCTCGATATTTGGGTGTCTCATGAGCTCACTGAAAGAAACCTAATGAACCGTGTACTCATTTGTGATTCTCTTTTACGACGTAATGAAACCGAACCATTTTTGAAAAACCTGATAACTGGTGATGAAAAGTGGATCACGTACGGCAAGAACGTGCGAAAACGGTCGTGGTCAAAGGCTGGTCAGGCTTCACAGACTCTGGCAAAGCTCGGGTTATCTCGCAACAAGGTAATCCTATGTGTATGGTGGAATTGGAAGGGCATTATTCATTATGAGATATTACCGCCAGGCATTCTGAACCACCATTGATTCTGAACTCTACTGCGTTCAACTAATGAGATTAAAGCAAGAAGTAGAGAGAAAACGGCCGAAATTAATCAACAGAAGGGGTGTGGTATTTCATTATGATAACGCTAGACCTCACACATCTTTAGCCACTCAGCAAAAATTGAGAGAGTTTGACTGGGAGGTGTAAATGAATCTTCTTGCACCTTCAGATTTCTACTTGTTTCGGTCTCTTCAGAATTCTTTAGACAGTGTCAGGTTAACATCACGAGAGGACTGCCAAAAGCACTTGTCGCGGTTTTTTGATCAGAAGCCCCAGAATTTCTTTAGCAATCATGTCCGCGCCTACAAGATGGCAGAAAGTTATCGAACAAAATGCCACCTAAATACTTTAGTTAAATGTAATTTTCATAAAATGCGAATAAACTTTTTCCCCAAACTATTATATGACACTTTCTATATGTAATATATGTCCAGAAAATATAAATAAAGAAGCACAACTTTGGTCACTCGAATGCAGAATTTTAAATCTACGGAAAAAAGCATTGTGAAATGGAAAACTGTCCCATCTCTATCTATATATAATGGTTTTTCTTAATATTACATTAGAATATTAAACTTAATTTAAAAAAATGATTTAAATGAATGCAGTAATGAAATGTACAAGGTATTTTCGTTAAATCAAACTTTACTTGTTAAACTTTAAAGAAATGCTACTTTGCACTTTAAGGAACTCGTTCAATTTAAATCATATCATACCAAAGTAGTGTTTCTAATTGGTGTTTTTTTTTAAAGTAAAGAAAATATTCAATATTAAGTAAATACCATGTTGCTATTTAAAAAAAAGGACTACTTAAAAATTATAAAATAAAAGAGGTACAAATTTTTGATTTCATAACTAATAAAGTTAATATTCAAGTACCATAGATCTTTTTTTATTGTTAATTAAGTTAATACAGTAGAGATTTGACTAACATGCACGGGAAGAGCACTGTATGTTGTACATATATTTTACTGATACAAGAGATATTTTAAAACTTACTAAGCATCAATGCCGGATTCACCAGTATGCCAAATTGTTTCGTGTTCTGTAGGCTATTCTGGCTTAGCCCGGCACTTTCTTTCATTACAAGTACAAAAATACTACATTTTTAAAGGCAAAACTTTTAATCTGGCAACGATATCCTATTTTTAAGTACATTAGTCAATAGCGCCTCCTCTGTTGTATGTTTAAACATTTAGATATTTCGAAATCTTTTTACATAGGATATACCTAGTATAAGTGATAATGACGAAACGCTAGATTCCGTTCATTAGATTAGTAATTTTACTTTATTATTGTCCTACTTATCATAATCGTAAATGTAAAAAATTGATACAAGGAGGCGCATGACGTAATACGGAGTCAATACAATTCAATTTGGTGTTCCAATTACAATTTGGTATACCTACAACAAATATTGGAGGTCATTTAACGGTCCTCTTTAAAACTACATCACTTGATAAAGTTATATATTTAATTGGTTGTACGTCTTACACGTTAAAGCAGTTAATTAAAATTCTTATATTTGTGAGGCAAAACTAGGTCCCATTGTATCTATTATTTGCTGAACTAGGCAAAAGCCATACAATTTAAATTGTTAATTATTGACCAGTGTAAATCTGGCTGTTGAAGTGTGACATTCTATAAATATTTATATAAATATTAAAGTCTTATATTTATTATTTTTTGATGTCAGGCAAATGTTTACCCTGCTTTTATTAAGAAATGCGTCCAAAATGTTCCTTTAAAATTGGTTCAATAGTATTAGGGTTAGTATAGATAAATTGATTCCTAAGCAATAGATCTGCACCATACATAAAACATTTGTGGTCTATATTTTATTTATTTTTTATTATCTTTAATGTTTTAACTTCAAGTTTCAATTAAATTTAAACTTATATCAGTTTTGCTGGAAACATCGAATCTCTAATCTCATAATAGGATTTGAATGTAATTTTAAGTTAAGCGGTTTGGCTAACCTGTCATTCAATCTAATGCCTGTTTAGGGATATTAGTAATAGTAGAGGATATTAGTTGTCTTGGTTTAATAAATGAAGATGAACCGATAAAGGAAATAGATACGGTAAAAAGGTTTTTTTTTATGTGTAAATTCGGCAAACGAGCAGGCGGTTCACCTGATGTTAAGTGATTATCGCCGCTGATGTAATTCTACATTCATCCTCATGTACAACTAGCTGACGGTTGCGAATGCGTTGCCAACGTTAAAAAAGTGACTTCACTCACCAGACGAAACGCGAAAGTATAATTATATAATACGCTTCTGTGAGGCCGGTACTTCCCCGGACGAGCCTGCCCATTCGTGCAACAGCCGTAGCTTATGCGTGGCACCTTCGTGGCGCTAGTGGACAATATTTCAGAAGTAAGTCGAATCAACTTATTACAGGGAGTAATCAATGACTTTCTATTTTTTGTACTTTATAGCTAAAACAAAATGATGCAGATTTATTGCAGAGTAATTTACAGATATTTTGAAAGTAATCTACTTTTGCGGTAATGCATATCATATTAATTGTATTGGTTAGTTAGTGCTTAGAGTGGGTACTATTAATTAACTCAATGGATTATCACAGTTCATTCGTAAATATGAAAATCTAATAATGCGACAGTTTACAAAAATTATTATTATTAATGTAATAATTATGGATTTTGTAAGAAATGTATATTATTGAAGAATATGATTTGCCATTTTTGTTACAAGGATGGATTTAATAATAAAAATAAATAAATATTTTAAAGTAAAAAATTTTTTTAAAATAAAGTACTCTTTTAAAGATTTTTATAAGTAATATAAACTTAACAGATAATTCATTTTATATTACTAAAATATGTATAATGTATTACCAATAATAAAAACCTAGTATATTGGGACGTGCAAAGAATCGCTAAATATGGGAACTTTGATTTATTTTCCAAACATGTGTAAAGGCAGATGTGGTATATTTTGCCTGCACAGAAACATTTTGATTTTTCTAAAATATTCTACTAAAAATTAAGCTAATACTTATATACAATATATTTAGAATTATCTATACGAATCAATAACAACGAACCCAAAAGCTTCTTTTCATATTTTATAGCACTAAACAAATAATACATAGTTAGTTTAAAGCAAATCCACATCACGATGTAAGCGTGATGTAACTACTATACTTGTATATAAAAGGTACCATGTCTACTTTTGAGTCTTTGGTCTTTTACATACATCTATAACGAGTGGAATACGAAAACTTAGGTTATTAACCACACTATCTATATCGTTGTACAAATTTACTAATAATAATAATCGCTGCATGAGACTTTACTTTGTAGAAGCGTTTAGAAACTATACTCCGCGTCTGAGACGATTACTAGCTTAAGCATCTATGACAAATAATGTTCGTGAATAAATATGGAGGAATTGTGCGAATTAATTAGACCGTGTCTTCGATGCGCACACGATGATGGGGACGTTCGAATATTTCATAAGCAGGCGCATTCTTTTGTGAATGCCATGCTATATAAAATCTTAGAACAAAATACAAATTAAGAAAATTTTTGTATTTTACTTTTCAAATTTTGACCTTTAGTTAAAGTTTTGGAAAAAAAAATTCAAAAAACCTTATTTTCGCTTATACGGATGGGAGAGTGGGGGCTTGGGGGTGTCATTATTTGGCTTGTGAAATATTTAAACGTTTCCATATGTAAGGTTAATGGCTTATACATCGGGTCTTAGTAAGTGTAGATCTACGGCCACATCTCTTCTTTGTGATCGGAGGAGCCTCGGTGGATGTCCCGGCTGAGCAACACCCAGTAAAGCTGCATCTTCCGCAAGCGAGTCCCCTGACCCATATCCGCGCTCGTCGGCTGCTTCTCCATCCCCTTCGCACCAAGACGGCGACCCAGAGCTACCTGATCGTGTGCCACCTGCTTCCGCTTCCGTTTCTACTTCTACTGAGCAGCTTGCGCAAACCTCTGTAATTATTACAATTATTAAATTTTATTTGATTTTTAATGTAGTAAACATTGGATTAATTATTTTGTCCTTTCATGAACATAGGATTTCTACAAACCTCTACTCACACATACATAGCGATTATCTAAAACAATGAAATGTCTTATAATAAGAAAATAGGTACTTGCTTTATTTTGGTAGTCTTATGTTTTTAATTATTCATTTTAAATTAATATGAGACAACATTTTATGGCTTCAAGAATATTTGTAAGGATGTAAATACAGTATTATTGTTCTTTTGCTGTCTTTGTTTAATATTATCCATATGTTTACATACATTTGGTCCATTCATATCAAAATGGTGTTCTATATGTTAAAAGGTAAATTAAAAAAAATATAGCAAATATAATTGATACGATAAAATTATATTTAATCAAATTAAATCAAATGAAATTTATATTTAATCAATAAGAAGTATGTACCACTATTTTTAATTTTTCGTTTTCAAATAGGTTCTTTCATGGAGTTTGTTCTATAGATCTTCGAACGAAAACTTTCAAACGTACACATAAATTATTTCTTGGAGCTGTTTCTGCTGAGTTAGTGGAATTGGTATTTGTACCCAATTTTGTCTGCCATATAGTGTAAATACCGCGGTCAAAGAAAAATCATATGGCGAAAAAACAAAAGACTCAAAAAGTTCTAAGCACAAATACACAAGCTTAAATTTGAAATAAATTTGAATTTGGAAATCTTAGCCAAACACCTGAAATTTGAGATCAAAGTGGACAGTTCGAGAAAACACAAATTTCATATATAAAAATCAAGAACTAAAAATATTACTGACAGACAAGTACAGTTGGAACTGGTGGAGGAGAAGCACAAAATTGTGGATAGAAGTTGTTTGCATTTACAGCTATTACTAGAATCCTGTTTTTATTAAATATAACGCAAAAATCTACTATCCAATTACGAATGGTCATTTTATTATAAAAAGCTAAATTGACTACCAAGGATCGAACTACATAAACCTATTTGAGTAAGATCACTATGACTTAATAATGTTACAAATACGTGCTTGACGTCTTAAATGTTAACGATCCGTCGATGACGTTTATGATCTTTTTTTATTTGGGTTAAATAAACAGTGCCACAATAAAGATAAATAATTAAAGTAAATATAACAGTACAAGTTCAATAATTTTGACACCAACACCATTTACCACAGGTTACTTTTCCAGGATTGAGAGATAAACGTCAATAACAACCTATGAAACACAATGTAAATGTAATTTAACAAATTGGGCAATAATTTTACCTCCTCTTAATTCATATCAAACTATGGTGTTGATCTCATACAATTTTTTTATAATGGCAGTTCTATATATGCTAACATGAGATGTGAATATATCAATATCAGTAAAATATTTGTTTTATATGTCCGCCAGGCGATATACCGGCGATCGTTTACCGGTGTTTGTTTGAGTCTTTGGTAATTCGAAACAATGATACAAACGTTTTGTTCTCGCATACGGCCTTGTCGTCATTCTATTAAAAATCTGTTTATAATGTCTACATAGTCAAACTTAATGTGGCAAAGATTATACAGTAACATCATTTGAATAAAAAGTCTTCTATGTTTTATACTAAGTAGATTGTAATTATTTAATAATTTGGAATAGGATATATTTGCATGGTGGCACTTGTAATGCATACATTTTAAGAATTTCTTTTGTACCCTTTCAAGGCTGTCAGAATATTTATTGAAAAAGGGATCCCAGACGGTAATGGCATACTCTAATTGTGAACGTACCAAAGATTTGTAAAGATGAACATATGTGGCTGGTCTTTTAAAGTTATTACTGGCGCGTAAAACAAAGCGATACATTTGGTAAGCTTTGTTACAAATATAATCAATATGAGTATCTAAGGTCAACTTACTATCAAGTGTGACTCCTAGATCTCTAATGGTGTCTACCCTTTTAAGGTTTTTTGTTACATAAAGAGTAGACATATATCTTATTTTAAATTATTAGTAAGGATTGGATGAAGGTTAGAATTCCAGAATTCAAAAAAAACGAACGAAATTCCGACTTTAAAAGTGGTTCGGCGCGGCAGTGGACGAACTCGAAGAAGAAGGAACATTAAGAGGAGAATAAATAGTGATAAGTTTAGTAGTGGACAGTGACGCAAAGTGACTAGTAATGTAAAGGCGTACATGGTGATTGGTGCGAGGAGCGCACCGGCGGTTGTGTCACTATAAGATTGGTGCGAAACGGGAGAGTCGTCGCACCAGTAGTAGTAGTAAGGACTAAAGCAGTATTGAGAGGGCCGCTGTGCACATCTTTGTTGGCGACAATTAAGGGAACATCTAAACCACCGGCGTTTCACTTCCTATCGTCGTGGAACTCATTTCAAGAATATTGGTAAGATTTGACATAGTCAATAATTCTATGGAGAAGTGTAGAATGTTGCAGGACATAAAATAAAACATTCATTTTGTCAATAACAAACACAAGATATTCTGCTGGCAATCAGTTGCAGAGAGTATTGATTATCACCAAAACTTAAAACGGCTGATTGACCGCGAAAAATAAAAATTCACTGAATTTATTGAATAATTTCGACTATGTATTACACAAATTCCAATTCAAATATCTATATCTATTTCATATAGAAGTATTACACTTACTTATTGATTGTAAAATCGCTACCACCGGTTCGGAAAAGAAAAGTCACTGACCTGAGAAGTATTGGCAAAATAAACTCTGCGAGACATTTTTTTAACCATTATTTGCTTAGAAAAACATGTTTATAAATGTAAAGAAGTCCATTTGAATTATCCGCTCCAGGCTCTTTTCCTGGAGCGATCAATTCATTTTCAGGGTGTGTTATCATTCAGTACCTGGTGGACCGACCTTTGCTCGGTTTGTTTTTTTTGGTAAATCATATATTTTGGAAATTACATTTAGATACAAATTACTGAGTAATGAAATTTGCATAGTATTTTTCGATTTTACTGACGTAACAACAAGAAAATAAGAAGTGGTGTTTTTCACAAAAGAAAGAACTTTTAAAAAAAGGGAAAAAATAACAAAATAACTAATGGACAAAAAATAAAGAAAACAATGATCTGGAATCGAAAAAAAAGTAAAAAAATAAGGGTGTAAATGATCGTGATACGAACCACGGCCGTCTGTTTTGGGGCCGCCCGATTACCGACCGAGCTATAATAACATTTTTTTTGCGGCGAAATTTACCGTCATATTCGAATGATATTTTTCATTCCCTGAAAACAGGGATAAAAGGATATTTTCTAAAAATGAAACCTAGCTAGATCGATTTATCGCCCGCGAATCTACGCACATACTAAATTTCATGAAAATAGCCTTTAACACAGAACGTTAGAGGAAAGTCACCAAATATACTATATTGTTTCAGGGATATAAAAAAAACTTCATAGAAATTAAAACAGTTTAATGTAATTACTAATCAGTCATACATTTATTTGTACAGCCTTTAATCAAATATATTAGTTATCAAATTAAAATCTAACACAAAAACCAAAATCACAAATGAGTAATCAAATATGGAATAGATTTATGCTTATATGGTCTTGAATGGTAGATGTAGCTAATGGGATCACTTTCAAACAAAAAGACACTTAAGGAATAATTAGAAAACTATTTAATTTAACTCAAACATTTTGAATTTGATTTAGATGAAACGTAATCATTATGTAATTTATGTAAAATACAAGAGTTATGTTAGATACTAGCTATCTGTTATATACATGTTATTTCAAATAGGATTTGCCAAACAGCTCCACAATATCATATGGACTTAAGGGTCTGTTTCTAATCCACATACGTATTTCTCCACTGTAGTATGTTTTTAATAGCCCCATGAAAGTCTTTGTCTAACGGCTGAAATTTTTGAGTCGTAAGTGGAGGTAACGAGACTATGTCCGACGTTATTTTCTTTTATTATATATACATATATATATATCGATTATATCGATATTGTGTATAGTAAGTATACATCTATTATATCGATATTGTGAGTATGACTATAGTTTCCATCTAGTAACAGTAAAACCCTTGATTCAGGAGTCGGGTTGGTATGTTGAATAAAGTGCTTGAAACAGTCTGTAAAGATGTTCATTTGAATCCACCCTAATGGATCTGCATTAGCTGAGTACTCATAATTTTTCTGGGAAAAATAATGAACGGTGGCACAAAATGACCAGTAGCATTCATGCAAACAACTATTCTCATAAGAGATCCTTTTTCTGCTGACGTCAGTGTAGCTATCTGGCGTGTACCTTTGTGACCGATGATTTATGGTATCTTACTTTGTACTGTTGTGAAGCACCAAACCAAAAATCCACCAAATCGTATTTACAACGTGGATGAATCATCCACGTTGTAAATACGATTTGGTGGGTCATCCACGTTGTAAATACGATTTGGTGGGTAGTTATTTTTAGTTAAAGCTCTTCATGGAGGTTGAAAAAAGCGTCCACTTTTTCTTTATCAAATCCAAATGCTCTAGAGTTGATTGCTAATCTCAGATTATACATACTCTTTTGATGTCAAATCTGATCTGTTTGGTTTATGTATTATTTTTGATTTACTTTAAATTTAGAATGTTAGTTTTATTTGTTCAGACTGAATTGTGTCATATTGGATGATTCCGTAAAAATCGTTTAAAGAAGTAACATGTCTAACTATCTGACATAACTTTTGTATTTTACATGAATTTCATAATGATTACGTTTCATCTAAAATAAATTATAAATGTTTAAGTTAAAATAAATAGTTTTCTAATCAGTCCTTAAGTGTCTTTTTGGTTTGAAAGTGATCCCATTAGCCACATCTACCATTCAAGAGATTATGGGCCAAATAAAATCCAAATGCTCTGGAAAGATGTACTACTTGGTCTTCTTATCGCAAGTTTATCTTTATGACCATATAAAAATTACTTTGAAGTTGACTCGCAAAGAAGAAGAAGAAGAAGA